ACATTGCTGTTGTTAAAGCAATAGAGCCAGTCACTCATTGTCCACTCGCTGAAGCACTGGTATTGCTGAATAATCCATTTTTGTCAGCAGGGGCCTCTCCACGAGGCTCATATTGAACAGCAAAGTGTCGCGTACCAGTTGCTCTCAGCCGTGCATCAGCCTCTGGCTCCCAGACCCCACGCAGGGCACCAGTGGGACAGTGCAAGGACTAGGGCACGTTCACCTTATCACCAGGGCTTGGCTGTAGGGTGTTCATCAACAGCCAGGGGAGATCTTATCTATGGGAAGTGTTCTGGGCAGGAAGGGAAGGGCCAGTTGTTGCTCACTGGAAAAAGAAAGGGGCTCTGGGTTTCTTTTTTTAATTGGAAAAGGTCCAGAATTACTCTGGTGATACAGAAATGTTAAGTCTGAAGCATATTATAGACATGTATTTTCCAAAGAAGTGTGTCAAGCCAAAAACCAATATACCCAACATAAGTCCATAAAAAAGATTCAGAGGAAAACGTGGCATCGTTAACCTTCCTGTTTTGTGTTGCGCCCGGAGTTGCGGCTCAGTCCTGTTTACCCATCTTACTCTTTGCGGCTGGATTGCCCGGGTGACCCCCTTTTTATTGTCACCTTTGACTCTGATTGTTGGTGCCATCACCATGGTGTTAGTGTAGCCTTTGCAAGTAGCAGCTGTTTAAGGCATTGTACTTTAACTACTGTGTTTGCAGGACTGTGTTTACCCTCCTGATTTGGCCTGAGTGAGATGCCTGTCGAGGCCAGTTAGCTCACAGAGCATCATCAAGGCTTATTAGTGTTTTGGTACTCAAACAGCAATGTGTCTTACTGCTTAGCTTTAACTATCTGCTGCCTAAGATCAGCATATGGAGATAAATTACATGGGGTAATTTGTTATGAAGAGAACTAGGGAACCCAAATCTCCCTTTCAGATTCAAGGAAGTACAAATGGTAAGTCGATTTGGAGGAAGAAACTGGGCACTGGCAAAAATTAGATGTCATACTTTGATTGGTTAAATGGCATTATATTGAAATCACAGTCTTGTACCAGCTCACGCTAATGTTGAGTTGGAACCTTGTCAATTAAAAATATCAAAATATTTTTATTTTTATCTTTGACCTTAGAACTTTTGAAGCTCCCAAAGCTTGGACTGGCAGTCTGCATTCACTGTCCTTGCTTCTGGTAAAAGCATCTTAGACCATCTGAAAGTCTGTCAGAGCTAAAAGTAAATTGGTCCAAGAAAATACAAAACTGGTAAATAATTTTCTGATGAAAAGCAGTTGGGACTCATCCCCTTGTGAAGGTCTCTCTCAGTATCATATATAAATAGAAAGATGAAGGTTTAGTAAATGTGAAGACTCACACCCACCTTCAAAAATAAAACCGACCAAATCAAAACTGTCTCTCAGCACTTCGCATAAAGAGCTCAATTTTCATCACAGCTTTTTAATTCCATCCCAGCTCAAATGTTTTGTATGAGAAACAATTCAGTTATATAAAATACAGGAACAATTAATAGATGAGAAGTGGTCTTTGAATAGGAGGTGTTTCCACTCCCTGAAACATGATAAAGTTTGCCTAAACATCTGCATATGAATCTAGATAGAGGATGCACCATCTTTTAGAATAACCTTTATTGTACTAAAAAAGATTACATAGCTTAATTTTCCCCCACTGTTGCCTAGTAGACATTGTCACACTTCCTACAACACTACTGGAAATGTCTTGACCATAGAAAGCAGAATCCCTAAAGCATTACCAGCAGCAGGGCACAGCCACCGTGTTCACTGTGTGTGAAAATGAGCTGGAAAGCAGAACTGTGTGCGACAGACAGCTTTTAAAGGTAATAACGCTCCAAAGTGAATTAATTGTTTCCTGTTAGAAAGTACATTTCACCCATCCCAGTAACCCATTTTATCCGTTCTTACTCAAGGGAAGAGTTCATTAGGAGCATTTTTCCTGTCTGGAAGTGCCAGTTAAGGAGACATTTATATACACAGTATTGTTGGCTTGTGTTTCGAGTTAAGACACTGCTGACAGGATGGTTTATGATGTCAGAAGACTTTTCACCCTGCAGTAAGTATTTTTGTAAAGGTGTCCAATCATCTTTGACAACACCTGTCAACAGCAGTAGTGCAGTAATGTTACTGACGCTCCTAATGTTTTCCCCAAACAATTGCCAAGTAGCTCTCATTCTTATTAACTGTAACACCAGTAGTTCACTCGACTGCCTGCTCCTTATTAACAGAGTTAGTTAACAATTCCTCATAGTGTCTGGTTAAATTTTGACAATGTTGAGCATTATATTAATTTTGTTGCTTTAGTTAGTACCTCTTGGAAGTTTTACTCAGAAAACCCACCTGACAGTAATCCTGGTTAAATAAAATGAGTGTAACTGAAACAGATGTTTGTGAAATGGTGGAAAGGTGGAAAAGCAGCTAGAAGGAGCAGCTTGAAAGGAAAATGAACCTTAACTGGAGATAAATCATACAAGGCTCTCACATGGATGCTCCAGAACTCTGCCTGTCGTGCAGTCAGAGTGTGTTGTGCATAACTCGACTGGCTGGCATACACAGAGAATAACAGACTATTTTTGTTATTAGTTATTCAGCTAACATGAGTGGTTAAGGTCCTAATTTTCAAATTTGCTACTGTTTTAAAAAGGACAGAAAATGGTTTTCCTTATTCTTGGGGGGTGTATCTAGTTAGGATTTGTTATGATGTCTATATCAGCATTTCACTGACAGTGGGACTTGCACAAGCCAAAGAGGTGGTGGTGGGGAGGGAGAAGCCTTATTCATTAGAGTGCAGCAAGGCAGAATGCGCCGCACTTCCGGCCTGAAGGAAGGATGCTGCCTTATAAAAAGAAGAGATTGCCGCACTTTATTGTATTAAATTATTACCTACAGATCATTTTGTCTGGATAACTTTTGCAGCATTTATTTTCATCTGTCTGAGCCATTAGAAATCTGATTTGTCAAAGATTTGTAAACTACAGTAACTTTTTGACTGGGTGATCAGCACTAAAGACCTTGAAAAACTGGCAGAAGTTTTCACCCTGTGAAAATGTTAAGATCAATAAAGCAAATTGATAAATACTGTTTCACAGAATATAGGCTCTTGGATGAGATGCTCTAACACATAGCAGTAACAGATCATTCCAGGTACGGAACATCATATTTTAAAAGCCATACAGTTAATGCCATAAAAAGAAGGACTATGTGAAACATGATTGATTCTTATACCTTATGTCATAAAAAGTAGCTTCAGTTATGTGGGGTTCTTGAATAACTAAAGTAAGAGGTTAAAAGAAAAAGTCAACCCTTAAATTGCAGACAAAGAGCTTCTACTACCAATAGTATTACATCATCAAAATATTTCACAGACACTGAGAAATAAGCTGTACTTCTGTATGTCAGTGAAGCAGCAAATTGAATTCTCATAATATGTTTTGAAAATGAGTCTTGTTAGGTTTGATGAGGTGGAAAAGGTACTGAGATCACTGGTTTGTTCCAATACGTTCAGTCCGCTTTTCTTGGATGTTTGCCATGGCTAATCTTTTTAATGGCAGTGTAGCTTGTAAACCCATTTGGTAGAAAGCTGTACGTCTCAGTTTCAGATTAGCACACCAAGTAGGGTGGTAAATAAGTTTCTCTTCAAGCATGCAAACCCTTTTGTTACAGTACAAGAAATTTTATTTTAATGTACATACCAGGAAAACCTCAGTATTTCCTTTATTAATTCAGTGATGAACAGAATAAACCGCAAGTGTCATTTTAAATACACCCACACATATATATGTAGATAATATGCACCAGCCTTGTGGTTTTTGTTTAAAGACATTTATCAAGGACAAATTTCATTCAGGCCCACTATTCAAGAAACTGAGCCTGCCACAAACCCTCTGGATTTCTCAAAAACCCCTCTTTGGCTCCTTACCCATGCCATTTTGGAAATTGTCTAGGAAAACAGTGGGCCTTACAGCACAATGGGCCATCATCAATTTCCAAGTTCTATCATATTAAACCAGTGAGAACATTTGGATAAAACGAGGAAGACTTTGGCCTCAGCCTCCTGACAGTTAAACCAGAGGTTGCCACTTAGGTACTTAAGGTGATTTCAGCCTGTGGGCTTACACAGGAATGTTGAGGTAACATATTTAGGCTGCTCTGTAGGTTAAAATAAACTCTACCTGTTGCCTTTTAAAGCTAAGTTAGAACGCACTGGAGGTCCCATAGCACATTTATAATGACCCCACAGCATAACTACCATTTAATCAGCTTCTATTCCAGATGTATTTACAAAGTTATTTACTTTTTATTAACATAGTTTCATACAAAGGTACAGAAACTTAGGTAGTCAGCATCATTTTTGTGAAAACACAGTCCTAATTCCTTAGTTCTGAAGAAATCCCCTGAAAACCCTGCTTTCTGGTCATACCTTCCTTTTGTGTACAGCTGCAGAAATCCCAGTGCTCTGAGCCCTGTTTTCTGTTAAATTATTCCTGGATAGCTCTCCTTGAGAGAATCCTGCAAAGAAATCCCATGAGATGAGCCCTTTTTTTTTTTCTTTTCTTTTTTTTTTTTAATTAGGTTTCCTTTTTCGTGTTCTGCCTATTCATTTTCCATAGTCATAGCCAGCAGCCTACTCTGTACTTGAGTTGTTGTTGAACAGATTTTCATACTTTCACATAGATAAATAGTCTGCTGTCTTTAAAGACTCTCACATGCAAAAATGCAAGGAAGGAGGTGAGAGTTTTGAAACTGTGTGTGTCTTAACACGTTGGCCTGAAGTAGGATTGTAGATACGAGAAGAAGAGAAAGAGCACATGAGAAAGAAAGGGGGAGGAGAAAAGAAAGATAAGTAAGTATGAGAGGTGTCTAAATGAGCTGCTTTTTGACAGTTAAGTTTTTTAATTAGTGCAGTCATCTGAGACAGAGATTTCAGGCTGCTTTGCAAAAAGTGGCTGATGGTTGTGATTGTGATTTCTCTGCAGTTACCCGTACAGCGAGGACTCTAGCCAGGGAAAGCAGTACATGAATACGAGATGTCCAGCCTGGTGTGACAGAATCCTGATGTCCCACTCAGCCAAGGAGCTCATTCTGAAAGTAAGTACAGACCTGCAGCCACCCCGCTGCCCCCGCGTTCGTTTATCTTCAGCAAAGGTAGGTAGGGCTGATACACTTGCTTGTCCTTGAATTTTCAGTTGCCTGTAGCAAATGCTCACCAAGCTGAAGACAGCGTACTGTGGCAGTAATGAACAGTTATGCCTGCAGTGCTTTCCACCCAAGAGTGTGGATTTGTCCCAGTTAACCTGTTGGCAGTTACCAAAGCACAAGCTTTCACAAACGCTTCTTTTGGTATCCGGGCTGCCAGCACTGGCTGCGTGTCGTCCCTCCTGTGCCGCTTCTGTCAGTGCTGTACTGGGATGTACAGCACTGGGAAACTCTGCCTGCTTTAAAAATGAGTAACAAAAAATAAAAAGCCTCCATCAGTCCCCCAGTCCAGTCTGCAGTAACTTAGGTAACAGCACTGCCCTTTCGAGGGATTCAGCAGATGCAGACAAAAGTAACTAGGAGTGGCTGCTGCCTGAGGTGTAATGCTATGGAAGGAAAAACCTGTATAGCAGCAGCTTGAGGTGCCTGAGTTACAAGCGTGGTAGATTGAGGTTCCTTCTGTTGCTGATGGTGAGAAGTGGATTTCCCAAGCATATGTCGGATCCTAGATGCGTCAAATCTCCTGTCACTGTCCCCTGAATGAAGGCAGACTCTCCAGCAGGTAGGCTCCTAACTTTGTTACACCAATTAAGTGCCTAAATTTAGACATTCCATTAGAGCTTTAAAAACACGATTGTGCAAAGTTTTTAAAATCCCATAGTTCCTCTTGGGATTTTAGCATAAGGTAAAGTAAGGTAAATTTTTAGAGGTAAGGTAAACTTGGTGATGCTCTGTCCAAGGTTAAGCGACCAACATATAATTCAGGAGCCTTCCAGTTTTCCTTTTCTCTCGTTTTCTCTCTCTCCTACTTGTTCTGCTCTGCTCTCCTTTCCCTGGAGACACTGAACCAGGTCAGCCAGTTATGTCTGCCAACTTACACTGCCTCTTTTTTTTCCTGTGTGCTTGTTCATGACAACTGGAGACCTGTCCTGTTCATGCTGGCTATCAGCTATTCTAAAGGACCGAGAACACCTCAGGAAATCTCTGTATGATGAGGCCTCACTCGTGCCTTTCTGCTCGGAGCTGAATTTTCCCTGCTGTGCTAGCTGTGGCCACAAGCATAACGCAGGAATGAATGTGCTGCGACTGTTGTGTTGAGGTTGTCTTGCTGACCAGACTGCATGACTGTCTCATTCACAACAGACCTACCAAACCCACGATTGCCCAAAGTCATGTGTGTCCCTATGTTCCTGGATAACTAATGCAGTTTAATGGGAGTGAATTGCGGAAAATAATCTTTGCAAATAAATCCATATTCTACAGCTTCATGGCTTTGTTTTCTGTTTAAATTAATGAAACCCTTGAAACTTGCTCTCCTGAAGTTTGTAACCTTCTGTTTCTCTCTCTTATCAGGGTTATTTATCATTATTAGACTGTTTGTTTGGCAGTATATAACTCACTGAAAGGCTGAGAACATTTTTTCCAAATTTCAGTTTGATGAACTTCCTCGCACAGTTTAATGTGTAAATAGTGTCTGCCTGATATCTTGGAAGTTTCACCCAAAATTTTAGACAATGCGTGTACTGCAGTATTTAATTTTAAAAAATGGCAAAGCTAAGAGGAATGTGGGCTTTATAGTAAAATAGTGATGTCAAAATCAATGTTATTTGATCTTCTTGTACAGAAATATCATATGGAAAAGTGAGACTTTACCCAAAATACTACAGATAGTACTTGGCGCCCATGAAATTCCTAAAGAACAAAGGATTAAAGCCATGGAAAGGTGGGCCAATGAGGGAAGATTTTTTTTTTTTTTTTAAGCTATGAATAAGGAGATAGAAGTGTACACAAAGGCTTGAAGAGTGTAAACAGTACAGAGGGAAAGGAATTCTTTCAGATTATCTAGGGGGGTATAACTTGGATATAATGGGAGAAAATTAAACAAAGGAAATAAATTTGTAACTGTGAGGTTACTTAGCCCAATTATTAGTCTCCACAGAACAGAAACACAGTCAGTTGGATCATTAAAAGCTTACATTTAAAAAATGCATATAATTTTGTCTCTGCAGGTTTGTGTTTGCAAACTATGAGTATGCAGTTTGTGAGGACATCTCCAGAAATGCATATGCAAAATTACATATGTAGATGAGGCCAAACTGGCATGGTTGTTTTACTCAGTGAGTCTATACCAATAAAGGAGTTAGCTTATCCAGGAAAAAACCAAACTGTAATTCTGGCCCATAAAACTTAATTAAAATATGCAGTAGAAAAGAATGCTGAACTGATAGAGGAAAGGGCAAAATGACCTTACAAGTTTTTGTGGTTTTACACAGTAAACAGTGTTTGCCTTGCCTCTGAGAATTTATTCCACTGCAGAGACTTATGCTTTGAAGCTTTAAAAGGAACTGTGAAGGAAGTAAAAGCAAATTTTAATTAACTGGTTGCACTGTCACAGATCCTTCAAATATAGATGTATATGAATTCTGAAAGAATTTTTGGTGGTACCTAGCTATTGAATATTCTTATGCAGGTAATTATTTTGCTGTATTAATTTTTCTTGTAGGCAAATTAAATAAATTATTTTTCTGTTTTAGCAATTCTGTATTTTATTTCAAACAAAAATCGTAGCAAATCTGCATTTTAATCCTGTGTAAAGAAAGGATAGCACACACAAATCGCCACAGTGTATACAGTGTGTTCAGCTACACAGTAGGCATTACAGATTGTACAGACATGGGGCTGTAAACAGCTTTCATGCAACATCATCGATCATGCCATGGTCGGTTACCTCACCATCATGTTATTTTATGCTTCCTGAGCCCTAAAACACCAAAGGTTGCCCACTGCTAGGGAGCTGCGTTGACGCCTGATAGCATGAAGTAATGAATGCTCAGCCAAGTGTATATTGTTTCTGCTTGTGCACCGCTGTAATTTGTTTATCTGTCTAAAGATTATGCAGTTGAAAATCCACAATTTTATGCTGCCTTTGTAAATTATCAAGTCGCTTTTGATGAATGTATCCCCACTTCCGATGCTAGTGGCATTATGATCTTGAAATATTGGAAAGTGCTCATGCATACAATGCAGAAGGTTATGTTTTTATATTTTTGGCAGACAACCGTGCTATAAAGTAAATCTGACCTTAAGCTTCCTTACTGCATTAAAGATAATTCAGTTTTAACTTTATAGTCCTAAATGCTACTGTTTATATAAAGTTATTGCCCAGTCAAACTTGACTGATTACAGATGAGAAAGTCCTGAGTGTTTCATACAAAATAAATTAGTGTTGCCAACTAGTTTAAAGCACATCTATGATTGTATTAGAGACTTGAGAGTGTGCAGATTGCGGATTTAATTAGCTTATAGGGATTGTTTAGCATAGTAAGATATTGTCTTGTATGGGAATGTATTTATTTATTTATTTCTCCCTGAAGTACTGTGCTAGAGAATCAAAGCAGATACTCAAAATCCTCTTCATTGCAAATGGCAGAAAAATAGGTACATTTTATTATTCATTAAGCTACAAATGCTAAAGAAGTCAGTGTATAAGGATAAAGTTCAACATGGAACAAAATTAAAGCAATTAATAATGGAGAGACTGGGGGAATGTCATCTTTCATTTGCTAATTTTCTTAAAATCATTTAATGCTTTTTTTTCAGATTAAGAAATGTATCTCATAAATGATTAAAGACTATACTCATAAACTCTAAAACATTCATTCAGCTCTCGGAACATTTAAAATTGCTTATAAGATGAAATCAAATGCTCTTATAAAGCAATGTGGATTGCATTTAATTCTAAGAACAACATATATCTCACCTAATTCAATAAAAATTGTGTGTTGTTCTTAAAAAAGGGCTGGCCAAACGTGCTAGCTGCATTTCACTGGCAAAAGGTTGGAATGCAATCATAACTGAGTCACTCATTTAATCTACCCAAGTGTTAGCTCGCTAAAATTTCTTGAGGTCCCAGAAGCGAGGAGTAGATGCAGTGATTTCATGAGTTATTTTTCATGGCCAAATTACTGCAAGCAGTACTGGACATAAAAATTCATTCTATGTGGTCTGTCTCTGGAGAATCCAAGCACAGCTGCATTAAGATCACTTCATTCAGAAACTGGTTTGAACTATTTGCATACATTATTTCCATATTTCTTTCTGTTTCAGCTGGAGGATGTACTTGAACTGACTTGTGTTTTGTTGTGTTTTGTTTCTCTTTTTTTTTAACTAGTCAGAAAATGATGAGAAGATAGTAATATATGACCACATTGGGCCAAATGTCTGCATGGGGGATCACAAGGTAATTAAACATTTTAGTATTCCAAGTCTTTTTTATTAGGAAGGAGAATGTGTGTACTAGTTTCTGTTAATTTTATGTTTAAGTCAGCTATATTTCTATCCTATTTTTAATTTAAAGCCTCAAAAATGTTTTGTAGTTGAATTCAACTGAAATCAGCCAGTATATGAGAGTAGTTACTTGTATGTAAATCAAATAAAGAACAGGATGATGTGTACTAGAATGAAAGCATGATACAATACAAAATGAAGAGGAGCAACTGTCTGTGCACTTATGACTATTCTTGTAAAACAAATGTATTTTCATTGGGTTACCAAAATTGCTTCCAAAACATAGCTTCTATTAATTTGGTGCCTAGCTGCTTGTTAGTAAAATAACATATTGGTATTTCCATATTTAAGCAACAAGTGAGAAAAAGAACATAGAATTACATAAATATCAGTTGTTAAAGTGAAAAAAAATACATTAATTTTACAATCTTCTCTGCTGAAGATACCATATTGAAAGCTCAGTTAGAAATACAGCAAAACCAAGTATTTGCTTTCTTGGAAAAAAGCTGATTGAGGAGTAGCAGGTAGCCTCTGAAACCTTATATAAAAACTCAACTAGAAACTTCCAAAAACTTGTAAACTTTACAACAATGGTCATGTCTCAGTCCTAGAGACAGTGCTACAGCTCTTGATTTCAGTGACAGATAATGGGTAATTACATGTGTGTCTGCATGCACACACGTAAATCCAAATTCAGAAATATATCCCAGAGTTCTGATGAGACAGAGTATTGTTTTTCTGAGGAAGAATGCACTTAAGAGATGTGGTCCAGAACCGTCCAAGTCATATTTTAGAATACAGAAGTTTAGTAAGTTCTCCAGTAAAATTTAAAGTTCAGTGTGTCAGCAGCTGAAGGACAGCCAGTTCAGAAACAGTAATTTTTGTTGCCTTTGTCACCAGCGTATTTAACATGAATTTTTTTAGTGTGGCACTTTGAGTGGAGCTAATTCTGTGATAAAAGGGAGTTGTGTATGGGACCTAATCCTCTTCCCACAGAAATCGGTGGCAAATTTTCCCTTAGGTTCCAATGGGAGCAGAGATCTGTAAGGAGATGACGTAGTTCTCTTGTGCATTTTGTAGTTAGATTAATACAAAAAAATTCTTCCTCATTTTGTTTCCAGTCATAGGAGAATTGTTGTTGTGTTTACTACTGTAAAAAAAAAAAAAAAGTTTATTTTTCAAATGTGTAACTTCTGTTTTTCCCTGACTTGCTGCAGCCTGTGTTCCTGTCCTTTCGAATAGCTGCTGGGGCAGGTAAACCTATTGCAAATGTGCACAAGTGTTGTGTCGTGCAGTGATGTGGTGGTAAATATCATTTTTTTTCCTTTACGTTTATATTTTCTACATCATTTCCCCTGTGTTTATTTTTCTTTTTTTAAAAATGCCAATTCTGCAACAGGAAAAAGATGCCTACGAACTGAGAAGATTTTCCGTGAAACCACACTGTAGCAAGGAGGGCAAGGAATGCGCAGTATACTGAAATACATAATCGTAACAGCTGTATTGATAAATCAAGTCCCGAGTGCCACATTTTTAGACTGCTGATCGTACACTATGCTTCAGCATCTGGACTCTGTTCGAGAAAAGCCTCACATACCTCACTGTCTTGTATGTTCATGTGACATCAAGTAGAAACGTGGAATTATTTTTTATATATATGTCACAATTCTGTTGCCAAAACTCTAAATAGACAAGAGATGTTCTGTATTTTAGATTTCACAACTTTCAACTTTTAATAAGTGTTTGTCAATGTGGAAAAGCTATTTCAGCATATTATAAACTTTTAAAGATGTCATGCCTAACATTATATATCTTTACCACTTTGGGGTTTTGTACATTGGATTGTATAGATAGAGATATCGATGGTTTTAAATGGTATTTTCTTTGTTGACCAAGGCTTATGGTTTGTGTTTTAGTTTTAGTATTTTGTTTTTCATTTTTATATTTTTTTCTCATGTTATTTACTATACTGCCATGTTACATGGTTTTTGAATCACACAGCAGCTGCTTTCTATACATACATATATATGTGTGTGTATATATATGTATGTATGTGTATATATACACAGATATATAAATAATTTATAAACCTGACCAAAACTTAGGTTAAATATACTTTCCCACATGAATGCTTGAGAGTGCCATATCAGCAGTTAGTGTCCGAGTCTTAGCAGGTTTAGTTAAGTGTACATCAACAACCAACATTTATATAATAAATAATATATAGCCGTGCCATCCTGGATACAGATATATAGCATACTATATAGCACATATATTAGCAGTTTCACTTTGTTACTCCTATAATCCCTTCTTTCTATGTAATATTAAGGATTGAATGTGAAGTTCTTAGCTAGGTTTGGGTGTAACTTTCCAGAATTTTGTAAACTGTTTTTGTCCGTCTTTTGTTACTGTTTTATGGTGCCAAGTATTCTATATTGAAACAATAACAACATGGGAGAAAAAAAAATAATAGTCTGCTTCAGGTAGCAACTGTATCAGACACAGACTGTATTTATACAGTGTTAAAGAAAAAAAAAGACTGTAAATTTTCCTGGTTAGTAGCTGAGTGCAGCCTACAATATAATCTTGTTATGAACATTTTTCTCCTACCACTAAATACAACATTAAAAGGTGATTAGGGAGTCTGTTGATGAAACACAAATGTATGTTTTATTGATTTAATTTAGAACACTACAGAGTTCACGGACTGCGTGATGGCATTAGATTGATGCTTGATGTTGGTATAAATCACTACCATTGAAAATGATTTGATGTCCGCTTGCAGAGTGTTTTCTCAACAGTACAGTCTGGGTTTATATGACATACTGTTGCCCAAAGGGCGTCTGCAGCTCTGTATTGTTACTGTGCCATGTTGCATTATAACCACACGGTAATTCTATTTAAGCGAAGTCAACTCATGATAATTTTGAAGGCCTTTAGAAACGAGTACTCTGGTTCTCAAGCAATAAAACTGATCATGGTGAATAAGGCTGTGTCTGTCTGTCCCTTTAATTCGGGCACTGGGGATTACAGGGAAATTATTAAATGGTCGCATTTCTTATTAATGAGGCGCCTTTTAATTTCCAATTAACAGGGTTATTTTTCACATGAAAACCTGTATAACACAATGCAGTTCTAGTGTTAATCAAAACACAATACAAACGGAGGGAAAGGCATTGAGGAGTCTGTATCGGCGTAAGAGGGCGAGATGAGCCATTCCTGAGGTGCCCGTCCCCAGCAGTTCCATAAATGTGCCACCAAAACGCCCTCCCGCTTATCTTGGGTTTTAGAACAAAACTCCTGCTTTTTCAAGCGGAGAGGGAACCCTCAGGTACAAACCCACCGGAGCTCTGAACCCCAAGACCAGGACTGGCCCTGAGGTGTGTGTTACGCAGGTAACCCTCACGGTAATTTGTTGAGAAAAGTCTCAAATTTAACCCACAGAAATTCATAAAACGCCACTTCAGCATTTAAACGAAACCTGGAGGCGTCATCTCGGCCGGGGGACGCGGGTCATTCCCGTCGGCAGCGCTGGCGGGGCGGACGGGTGGGCTTCTGCGCCAGGAAGGGTCCGGGCGCTGCCCCGTCCCCGCCGGACAAACCCTGTCCGAG